CTGAGTTGATCTAGTAACGATGCTTGGCGCTCTAAAACCTACCCGCGTCGAGCGTTTTTCAATCTGTGTTGTCACGTGACACCACCCGCCGGAGTAACTCGGATCCTTTTGGGTAAGATTGGAACACAGCCGTTGTGACGGCGGCCCCTACTCTCGTCAAGCTTCGGGGTGTTCACCGCTTGGGGCGGGTCGGGAATCTACTAACGAAACGTCATGCGCAGGCCTTGCCTTCTAGGTGGTAGTGGCTGGAACCGTTTTTCCACATCCGATACGTTACGATGGGACGTCCGGTACAAACTGCGTTCCACAAAGGCGCACAATTCTCATACTCCTGTCAGGCGGGCACGTTAAACGACATTTAAGCAAAATGACATTACAGCTCGGCCAATCCGCGTGTTTAATACATCTGGCTTCGCGTGCGCCCGCCACGTACAGAACCATGCAGGATCACTAGCTGATTCGCCGAGCGGTGAATGACATTCGATCAAAATGACATTTACTTTTCCGTCTGACAGGGGTAGACAGGGGTATTACATTCCGATGGGAGAGCGCCTTTAGAGCGCGCGACACTAGAGCGCCGACGTTAGAGCGCGCGACACGAGGGCGCTGCGACAGTAGCGCGCTTGACACTACAGCGCACGTCACGAGAGCGCATGACCAGTTGAGCGCGCGCGCGCGACACAAGAGCGCACCCTTTTTGAGCGAACACCGCAAAATGTGTAATGTACCCACGGCTCCACAGACAGAACAAAATTGTGCGACTCATCGGATCGGAGCATTGGTGATTTTTGATTGATTGAATATGCCTTTAATAAAAAATTAAAATAAAACGGTTACGACTCTTTCTAACCAATTGTTTACTGACATCGGATAGGAAAGGGGCCAGGAGAGTGGGATGGGGCATATAGGTACCGGAAAGGTCTGCAGTTGGGTGGAGCAGCGAGTTTAAGATTTCTTCACGGGGGTGCATGCGCCTCTCGGATATACTATAAATTGTTTACTTTTTGCTATGTTTGGTCTCTTCTTGAACGGAATTTGGGCTACGATCTATTAGGTGGCGATTTACACGTCCCTTACGTAATTTTATATTCTATTGTGACGTACATGGCCGTAATGAAGAAAGCTCACCGCTAAAAAACTCGCAGTAAAAAACTAATCGAAGGAAAGCTCTACGCAATTTGATCAGATGCAGAGTTTTCCAGCCTTTTGGGACAGAAGAAAACCTACCCTGCGAATCTGTAAAATATATTTGAGACTTTTTTTTTTTTTTCAGAAATCTTAATTCCTTGACGCGTCGGGTACCGTGACAACGTCACCTTCTGTTGTTGATAGAAACAACCTTCAAGCAATGCCCGTTTTGCATGTCTCACAAAAGGGTCTACAAAGAAAAAGTCTTGTCGATCGCTCTTGTCGATCGCTTTGTCAGTTTTATGCATTCTTCAGAACCATAGCTTCTCCACGTTTGTTCTTAGAAAATAGTCCAATCTTTAAGGAACGAACGAGAGTGCTTTGATTCAGAAGTATACGGATACCATAGGTTTGAAAAATATATGAATATCGAAGAAAAAACCGCAGCAAAGACAGAAATAAAAGTTCGAGCATAAACGTTTTAGGCATGAATAGACACCGAACTTCTACACGAAGATTAGTGCCGCGGGTAGTAAATTTAAAGGATTGATTGTAGGATCCGTCGCTCAACATCTTTCCGACAAAAACGTCTCCAGAGACACAGCACCAATGCGTCGCGATCTATCGCGGCCAGATTCCGAGAAGCGCATAGGAAGCGGTGACCTTGACCGCACTAGCAGGTCGCGTTTTTGCGCGCAAATGTGTGCACAAACATATGTTTAGTAAAATTGTCATGTGTGACAATATGAATGGTTGGCCTATGACACTTGGCTTGAGAGCTCCTTTTCCAAAATTGCGTTTGAAAACCCCAGAACAGGGGGACGCGTGTGATATGTTGCTTCTTTCATTTTGAACCTTTTAAAATAATTTAAAATAAAAATTAGTCCGGTCGGTACTGAACATTATCAATTAAAATCAAAGATTTAAGGAAGCTAGGTCAGCTGCAATGTTTTTTCCTGCGGAAATCATTGCTACGAATATCTTTTTCTTTTTTTTTTTCTGCTGTCAGTTTTATGTAACACTTCTTGATTTGTCACACGCAAAAATTTCGTCTACTCATTTCGCAATGTCTTTGCTGAATGCCGTGGCGTAAATCCCCGCCTATTTCACATAAAGCACGCGATGTCCGAACAAGGGATCGGTCGGGTCGGGTGCTCTAATGACACGCGCTCTGACGTCGCGGCGCTTTTGTGTCGCACGCACTAACGCCGTGGCGCTCTGTCGGCGCTCTTGTGTCGTGCGCTCTGTCTTTTACAGCCCATTCCGATACATGCTTTTACACTTCCGAGTATGGATCCTTTTCTTTTTTGTTTTGGCTGTTCAAGGTCAGTTCGCCCCTCACTTCGGGTCAACCTATCAAGTTCCTTTGTTAAACGAGAGACGCGCCTATCTCCTCGCGTAAAAGTTTCGCTTTTTTTTTTTTTTTTTTTTTGCACTTCTTCGAGTGCGCTTTTACGAAGGAAGAGAGTCTGAAAGATATAATTGATACTCTGTGTTTCCTATCGTTGCTCACTGTCATTTTGTGTTTTTGTAGAAAGAAGTTTTCGTCTCTTCGTCTCTTTCAAGTTTTTACGGGTTCTTGAAGGCAATATATTGTGGGAGCCCCTGGCTCCCTCTCCCTGATCCAGCCTTAAGGCCGCGCGCTCGACGTCGGGAGCCGCCCGGTTTCCGACAAGAGTGTGCCTTATCGTGGCCAGGAGAGGCAGCCACCTCGGTTGTAAACTTAGTTTCGCCTTGTGGCTTTTTCTGTCATCCAAAGCTTCAGCGACGCTTTAGATGCCAGAGGATGAAGTTGTTTCCAAGTGAAGCGATGCTGTTATATGACGGAGGTACTTCCAACAATTCTAAAAGGTGTCGTTTAAGAGGTGTCGTGTAAGAGAATTGACTTGACAAAACGAACTCTAGGGCACTTTTCATTATGTTCCATTAGTTTGATCAAATCACTTCCTCACTTTATGAGTGCTTTATAGCATCGGTCGGGCGTTGCGTATATATGTTGTTTTGGGTCGGAAGGCACGAAATATGGCGCGATAACGCAGTCTCTTAGACGAGATGGGCGAAACGCCAACTGTTGCATAGGTATCAGAGTCAGAGCGTCCTACTGCGATATCTTCACCGACTAGTTCACCGTTTATGGACGCCGACACTTAACGCCCGGCGAGACCTTGATCAAATACCTCTCAATAAACATCTATTTGACAAAGTTATCGAAAATATTTTTTGGGTGACATGTTTTATTTTGTTTAAGCCTTTGTAAATTCAAAATACGACGTTATTTCTGTGTGAATAGCAGCCCAGCGAAACAGAGACCATAAGTGCACTAATTTGTCTCTAAAACATGGGAGAGATTAATTCACTGTTCTCGTGATGTATGGGCCGTGGCGTCAAAAACGCCTTGTGTCGTTCTGTAAAAACACGGTAGGTGAAACTTCGCATAATTCATGTGTTGTTCTTTCCATTTCTAGAGTAGTCTCTCCTTTTGTTTTGTCATTCAGCGGCTTCCGGGAGGCGTTTATAGAATTCTTTTTTCGTGCGTTGAGCACCTTCGTAAATTGTATGAAGGGTTAAACAAGATGGGCGCTTGCGAACTTTTTTCAAATTGTTTTAACGAAAACCTATACCTAGACTTAAGAACGCGTAGTGGTTCCTTTTGCATCTTATGCTGTTATATTCCTCGCTTGAGTTTCTCCGCATATTTTAGGCCAAAGAGGTGGCTCTTGAAACAAACAGAACAATTGCATTTATAAAAACGAAACACATTCTTGTGTAGAATATATACATATATTGCCGCCCGCAGAGCCGAGAAAGCAACGCTTGGTCACGGTCTTCTAGGAGATTCCCGTTCGTTCTCACACCAGGGGCTCTAAACTTGTCAAACACAAAGTTCGGGCCAAAGTTGACGGGGCGCACTGATTGGACAACCACGACGACGACTTCGCGTTTTTATCGCCGACGTCCAATCAGCGCGCTCCGCGAACTTTCGGCTCCAACTTTGTGTTTGACGAGTTTAGGGCTCCAGGGGCCCTAAACTCGTCAAACACAAAGTTGGAGCCGAAGTTCACGGAGCACACCGATTGGACTGTCCCGGCGATGACTTCGCGCTTTTTTCGCCGGCGTCCAATCGGCGCGCTCCGCTAACTTTCGGCTCGAACTTTGTGTTTGACGAGTTTAGGGACCCAGACGTAACTTTCCCTCTGCTTTGTTATTCTTGAAAGTGCCAGTTCATCCTCGCCCCGAGCGCGCGACGCTTAAGCCTTCTTTGCCGAACTTTCGAGATAGTGACGCACGGTAGATAAGCGACCTTGTCGAGCCAGTCTCGCTATACTTCGTTTCAGCTTCGGTCCGAGCGCGGCCGATGTTATAAGCCGAAGTGCCAATCAAACAGCGAAAAGGGCACAACGCCATGGCGTGCTCTTTGCAGTTGATAGGACCAGCCGGTATTCGCCATCTCTCTGTGCGTTTTCCTCCGCCGGCTAGTCTTATCAAGCGCAGAGAGCACGCCATGACGCTGCGCATTTTGCGGTGTTTGATTGGCCCTTCGGCTCATAACATCGGCCGCGCTTGGACCGAAGCTGAAACGAAGTATAGCGCTCCGTAGGGCCGCCGAATCGCCGCCCGCTTTCCTGCTGCCTCGACGCTCTTTCGTTACTTTTTTTTTGTTTGGCACAAGTTCGCCAACTACACCATTATCCTTCAGTTCACTGTTCGGCTTCTCATCAGCTTCATTCGTGACGATATATATATAGTATAATCTATTCCATTTGTTATGCACGTCTCCTGCAGGTGCATTCAAATGGATTTGGTCTTTACTCGGGCTCAAGTATGCGGATGTTTGCTGCATTCCCCCGGTGATGCAGGTATCCCCGGCTCACCCATAAAGAAGGTTGGCTGCAAAATATCCGGCTTGGCCAAACAAGAACACCGTTTTTGGTGACGTGAACCTAACCTGCGAGGAAGTCATGCCGAGATGTCAAAATAATTCATTGTAAAACAATGTTACAGTAACTTCAAAGTATTTTGAGATGATCTATCCTACAGGCTATGATATAATAATACTTATTATAAATGTCTATTCCAGAGCATAAAAAAACTCAGCACTATACGTATACAACAGGCTCATATAAAGTCGCTTTTTCCCGTACAATCTGGGAAGTCCTCGTAAGTGCACTTCTCTGCGAATCCTTTGAACATCATTTTAAAAATAACTGCCCCCCCCCCCCCCCTTTCAACAAATAAATTCCAGCTTAGCTTGTTTTATTTAGAGAAGAGGTCGGTGCAATAATTTTAATGTTGAAGTAATTTGCAGATTTCACTTGAAGTTACCAAGCTGGCTCTACTCCAATGATGGTGATCTAAATAACTGAAGGTGTGGACGGCTTATTGCCTAGGCCCGAACATCCTTAACTTTCGTTCATATCAATGGCGAAGCTTGTTAAAGGAAGAACATATTTTTTTTTTTTTTTTTTATTCATATTACCCCTAAAGGCCCTCGTGAGAGTGTATTACATAGGGGGGGTACATAAATCGTTCCAATAGGAACTAGTGCACATTGAACAACATATCAGAATACTAGAAAACAATCAATACACTTAATAATAAAAAGAAAATAAAGGATACACTCAAAAACGAATAAAAAAAAAACATACACTCACTCATCACACTGCAATAAAGCTGAGTCAAGGTAAAAACAAAATAGTACACATTTGCTCTGCACGTTCCGGAAAAGATGAAACAACAATGTAAAACAGCAAAAGTTAGATGGCATCAGTATTTTGAATTTGTTCTTGAAACTTCGTGGTGTCTTTTTCTGAGGCAATGTGCGATGGTAGATTATTCCAATCGATTGTGGTACGTGGAATGAATGACCGGGAAAAGGCAGATGACTTACAGGTTATGCGTTTAACTTTGTAGGGGTGATCGCGGCGTGGAAAAATAACGGCAGGTGGCTCGAAGAAATCACCGTGAAGTGACGCGTGGTGGTAAAGTTTATGGAAAAGAGATAGGCGTGAAAGTTTGCGACGATGGAGTAGTTCGGGTAGCTCTGCTCGGCGTTTTAGTGCTGTGACGCTGGAATGACGTGAATAATCTGAAAATATGAAGCGAGCGGCACGATTTTGCAGTGATTCAATGTCGTTTATGATGTAAGCATGTTCGGGATCCCAAATGGCTGATGCATATTCTAATTTTGGACGTATTAGTGTGGAAAAGGTAAGTTTGCGTATGTTAGGAGGAGCCTGTTTAAGGTTACGCTTGAGAAATCCGAAAGAGCGGTTAGCAGCCGCCAGGGTGAGCTTTATATGGTAGTGCCATGACAGATCAGGTTGCAAATGAATTCCAAGATATTTATAAGTGGAGACGAGGTCAACAGTATTATTATTTAACACATAGGAGGTAGGAATCCGGGGTACGTGATTAGTAAAAGACATAAACTTTGTTTTAGAGCAATTTAGGGTCATTAGCCAGGAAGAGCACCATGCATTAATAGCATTTAGATCAGTTTGCAAAGCTTTCTGGTCATTGACAGAGGAAATTATTCGGTAAATTACACAATCGTCAGCAAAAATTCTAATTCGGGATGAGACACAGGATGGCAAGTCATTAATGTAGACTAGAAATAGTAGTGGACCTAGTACGCTACCCTGTGGGACTCCCGAGGTTACTGGTTTGAATATGACTGGTGTTCTGAGTGCATCGCAGCTGCATGAATATCTGTGAGCGTGCTTAACCATGGCGTTTTAGAGCGCAGCTCAGGCGCCCGTTTCCGGCTTGAGCGCCGTCGCCGTCGGCGTAACCGCACGTCGCATTATGGGACGTTTCCCCACGTCATGTGTGATGTCACGCGGGTCACGAGTGACGTCACAAGGCAGGAGGGAGGGAGGGGATGAAGGGAGGAGGAGGAGGGGGAGGAGGAATAGGAGGAGGAGAAGGTACGGAGGAGGGGGAGAGCATACACTCCTCTCCGTCCAGTCGCCTCCTCCTCCTCAAGATCTGCGCTCTAATTCGGCACTACAAGGAATTGCAAACGTCCGTCATTATTTTTTATTAATTTAATTTGAACCTACTGCCAGCCGTGAGGTCCAAGCAGGTGGGTGGGCATGGGAAAATTGAGAGCATCCACAAGTATGAAAAAATATCGAGAATAGCAGGCACATTCGCACTATTGACTGCAGTTGTCGGATACAAAGTTACATTTTGTAATATTACGGTCGCAACATATTTTTTAATGTAAATAAAGTAATTGCCATGTAGTAAAAAGTACTTTTATCCGAGTCAATATCATCATGGTACTCATACGCGGGAGGTTTGCATTGGACTTCAGATTAAAGTCAAAGTCGGTGGATCGGTAGCCATTGAAGGTAAATCAAGCATCTTTACTTTAAACGTATTTCTGTGCGTAAATGCTTTGTTCCGTAAATGGCTTCAAAACTGGGCTTGAATATTCAGTCTTTGGTGATGTCAGCGACCTATGGGCAGGGCGTTTGAGCACTAGAATGGCATGTCCTCACTTTCCTCTAACTGTCCAAAGTGTTTGCTTCATAGAAATATATTTATATCACCATTCCAGTTCATATTTTATTTTGATAAAATAACGCCCATGTATTGTTACGGTGTTATTCAGAGAAGGAGCACCGAAACTGACGTCTGCCAAGGTGGGTTTAATACCAAAAACTGCCCGCCAACTGAACTCGCGCCGTTGCGTGCCCCGGTCATTTGCGAGTCACGCTCTTGGTTTTCTTCACTGTGACGATATTTGTACTTCAGTGGACTGATCGAGTACTTACGAATGGCTGGCCTACAAGTGATCCAATTAGTGTGGTTATTTTCCCTATAGAAAATACAAATCCGTATTTCCAAGCTTCAAGTTCCCTTGAAGCGGCCTGAAACAAAAAGGTGATAATATATAAAATTACAAACACCGCTAAGTAATCTTTTTTATATATATACAGCGCACCATAGATAACTTGCATCAAACTTTAAGGTGAAACGGAGCGCTCAGCGGGAGAGAAACAAACTTTATGTTGTTAGGAAGCGTATCAGGGAAATGCAGGAATTGTGTTAAGTGCGCCGTGTTATCTAATAAATATAAGTAATTAACCAACCTGTTTACTATTCGTTTCACGGCCAAGGTGTGCTTGGGAAAGTTGTAGAGCGCATTAAGAAACACCCAAACAAAATGTTCGCCACATGATATGCTTGACGCAATCCATTTTATTAACCTTAAAAAAAAAAAGGCCCACGGAATGTAAAAAAAAAAAGAAAAGAAAAGACCACGTAATAACACGCCCGTGCGAGGCGCTTGCAGCGCTGTCAGACATGTTCTGTTCGAGAAAGTCTAGGCCCCGAATAGAAGCGCGAGTACCTGCTGCCGCAAAGCCCTGTCTCAGACAGCGCGCCAGTGATAAGGTAGACCTATACCCCTGTCAGACCGGCTAATTAGTGCACTTGAGCTAATGGACTGTCACTTGAAGTGTTTAGGTGCCACATGGGATAAATTAGTGTCACTCGGCAATTATGACAATAACGATGAATAAACTACTAGTTGACACATAAAACGTTAAAGTAAAGGCCTATATGTGTCAGCTATATTTAGTTTTTTCATGAATACACGTTTCAAGAAATTGTTACGTTGATTGACAATACTTACGCTATTAGATGATTCTCATCGATCATCACAAGCCAAGATAAAGAAAAATAAGATTAAGAAGAACCAAACCCACTTGAAGCCGAGTGTATTCTTCAGGAAGAAGCCCTGTGGCACACTACACAAATTACATTAAAGACGAAGTGCACTGTGTTGAAGTGCACTCAATTAGCCCGTCTGACCGGGGTATTATAACCTAGTCACACTAACGCTCTCAAGTGTCATGAAGTCAACGGTCGTTAGCATTAGAGCTACTAAATAAGGTACGCTTAGACTTTGGACACTCCGTTCCCCGATCTGCTAGTGGGCGCCGCCATCCTGGTGCTTAGTGCAGAGCAGACGCAACAAACAATCGTCAAAAAAAAACAAAAAAAAAACGACTTTCTCAGTTTTAATTAAGGTGTTACGGAGCTCAGGGTATGCTGCTTTGCTTTGTCGCGAACTTTTCTAACATTTCTGGAGGACGGAAAAATGTTTCTTGCGATTTTAGACAAAGATTCAGATAACTGGTGTCCACAATTTTAAGCACCAAAATGGCTGAAGTGTCCTTACTCTAAAGCGTAGCTTATTTAGTGGCTCTATTTGGCTCCTTCCAGATTTTGGAGGTAATCCCTTGCAAGTAACGGATTGCTTGTAATTCGCTACTTTTTAAAGTAATTTTGTAATGGCCACGTCTCTTTTTTTTTCGGCAATAAGTTGTTATGTAATTTAGTAACTATTATTGGTCACGGATTACGTTAATTACTCGTTACTCTTTAGAACAATGAACATAATAGAGAAACAGGAGCAATATGAGCAGGCAATTCAGCAGCATAAAGATAGCAAATTCAACAAAATGGAAAACACCTTGAAGAGGTGAATAATTGAAGAGAGAACACAAGTTTTTGTATATTCGGTCACTAGAGCCACTAGAAAACGTGCAAGGCATATACAAAGATGCGAAAAACAAATATCAAGAAGATTACGCCAAGTTGACGTTGTCTTCTTGATTTCCTAGCGCAAGTAGAGGCTGCTACTGAGCATGCGCACCACTAGCTTTATCTACAGAATTGCAGGGATCACTTCCGGTCGCCGTAAGCTTGCATGATGTCGGGTGAAGCTGCAGCTGTTGCTGCCTTGTCAGCTTACAGGGGAACCGAGTGCGCCTACATTCTTTCTCTGAAATACGAGATTTAATTTTTCAATGGCTACCATAATGCGGGCTTATGGGAAATATAAAGTCCCAAGCAGCACAGAGTTGGCCAGTCATTGGCCAATGGCTGGCAATGGTCCTTGGCCAAGTGGCCAGACAGTGGCCAGAGACTGGCCGGTGACTGGCCTTTATCTGGCCATTGGCCAATGGCCACCAGTCATCAGCCACCGGCCAAGCATCGGCCAATGAATGGCCACTCTCTGGCCACTGGCCAAAAGATCATCGCCAGACAGTGGCCATTGCTTGGCCAAAATCCGTGCTGCTTGAAGTAGTTTTGCAGAGCATTTTTGAAAACATCAAAATTGTTTCTATTGTTTTCTTGTTAAGTGTACGGAAAAAGTAAGTAATTTGAAACGTAACGAGTAAATTAATTTGTTCCATTTCAGCGGAAGTAATTTGTAACAGTAAGCCATCACGTTTGAGGCTTGGTAATTTGTAACTGTAATCAGTTACAATTTTCAAGGAACGGGCACAAGTCTGGCTATTTCCCGTGTCACAGGACACAGTTAAAACAGAACGGAAACCAATACTGATGTCACATTACCTTTTTATTTTAAGTGACGCAATTGAATTATATGCGCCCTTTTCGTCTTTTATAAACGTCTAAAACAAAATAAAATGAGCTTTTTTTTAGAGTAAAGAAACGGTAATCAAAAGACAAAGAAATTAGTTGTTAGTTGTGTATACAGCAGGAGTTCAGTCCGCCAGCACATGGCGACAATGTTAGCCACTGTAGATGAGTAATTTTGTCAGTGAAGTTCGGCTGCTAGCCTGCGGTCGTTAACATGCACCACACGGTAGTGATACACGACCGCAGACAGGTACGACGCTCATTCAGGTGGAAACGAATCCCTGGATCCGTTTCGAATCCCTGGATTCAGCAGTGCGAGCCCACTAGGCCGCTAATCCCCCTTAATCGAAACGTTTCGATCGAATTCAAGCAAGAGAGACATAATGAAAGTCTTACTGGCACCGACATCACAACGGCCACCCTCGCCAAGCTTTGGCTTCTGCGACGGGCCGTGATCGTTCTAGTCGAAGTTCTGGCCCCAAATCTTACCTCTTCCGACAATATGTGCTGTTACAAAACTTTCTAGATACCTCCCCCAATCATCGGCAATAGTAAGTGCTTCGCTGGCGCTGGCCATGGGTGGCGATTCGGTGGACGCAGTCATCTTTAGCTCCATTGGGGCGAACCCCCCTCAGTTTAGTGAGGTAGGTCAGCTCAGTTTAACTCAATGATCGTTTAACGGCTCCATGACAGTTGGCGCCGCCATGTACCTCCGGCCGATCGCGATTCACTCAGCTGTCTTTGACTTAACGACATTTAAGAGTGGAAGTGTAGCTAGGGTATTAGTTCCTTCAGAGCACGTCTGAGTGCGCTGTAAGCATGACGCACGGGTGCGTTGCCACGTGGTCTTTTTTACATTTTTATTTCGCGGACCTTTTTTTAGACTGATAAACAGAAGCGCAAAACGTATCATGTACCAATGACCTTAATTGGGTGTTTCTTAATGCGCTCAACAACTTTTCAATTCACACCTGGCAACTCCGGTCAGAAGTCGAATCAAAATAAATATCTGGTATCTGTTTACGAAGATTAAACACGATCACTGCCAATATATTAGAGAAATGGGAGACACGATTCACTCTAAAAGCGATATCGAAAGTGGCTCCAGATTATCAACGGACAGTCAGCGGACATGACAGCTTGTGCCCCGTTGTCACGTTCTTACTCAAAGAGAGAGAAAACGAAGGTGCACAAACAACGAAAAAGCTGGATAAACAACAAAAATTAAGTTTTCAGATTGTCCATGACATGGTGTACCAAGGCCGTTTGATCTTCAGTAGTTTCTCCGACGCTAGCCAAGCAATCTAAGAGGGAGGAGGAGGGTTATGGAGTAATGGGGCGAATAGGACAACCAGGCACTGTAGTAGGCAATTTTCTCGATTGGCGTGTAAGGATGGACAGTAAGGGCAGGAGGGATCGGAACTGCGTCGAAAGTGGAAAAGCCTTTTTGGAGTTCGAAGGGTATTTGTTTGGATCTTTCTAAGGATGCGTGTTTGCGTCACATTGAAGTTAGGGTAGGGCCGAGGTAGGCGTTGTTGAGAGTGACATATATGTTTCTAGTGAGGTTTGATTGATAGTTGAGTTGATAGATAGCTGATAGACCAGCCTATTACCTGCGATCCCTGCATCACCTGGGAACCACCGAACGGCGACCGAGGATCAAGAAGCACTAACAAGTTACTATTCATGATCTGTGCCGGACTAACCATTTTCAGCGTTTTTGTACTTTCGTTGCCCACCCCCTCTGTAATGCTTCGACCCTGAGGGTATATTAAATAAATAAATAAGTAAATAAATAAATGTAATGTGCGTAGGGCCTCCGCGAGGCCTGCTCGGAGATCTGGGGGAATTTTGCGCTGCTGCAAGGCGCAAATGGCAGCTTGTGTGTCCGTGTAGATCGTATAACCTGATGTGCGATGCAGTTGGACAAAATCTTGTATCGTATGTATGAGGGGGACTAATGATAAAGGAATGACATGTTTGGGGGCAAGGGGCCGGGGGGGGGGGGGGGGGAAGACCGGTTTCTACATGGACCGCTGGTGTGAACTTCGGGGCTGAGGTGTAAATTGCGTATGCCGCAGTTCCCTTGGCTTGGCTCCTCTCTCGGAGACGGACGCATCAGCATAAACTATGATCTGTCTGTGATACGATGGGTTGTGATGGCTAGCTTGCGCCCTTCTGCATCAGTCGTCTATGTCCAGGTTCACGCGGGGAGGTACAACGACAAAGCGAATGTTGTAGGGCAGGGGTTGGATAGGTATATGTAAGGGAACTTTAATTGGAGTAAGTCTTGCCTTCCCTAGTGGCCATTTATCCTGTAATGTTCCCGAGAGGCGGGCCATTTGTCGGTCCCGATGTGTATGCAGGAGACAGGTGAGGGGTTTGGCGAGTTGTTGTGTGAGTATCAAGTACGCTATAGAATAGAAAATCTAATTCAGAGCTAATGCATGAACTTGTTGGCTCGCTTGTTTTTAATGGAGACTCGAATTCTTCTTGAGCACTCTGCGTATCAGGCAAGTAACCGAGTGACATGTGTTCATGGCTGCACTGACGTCGATATGGTGTGCCCTCTCGTTTAAACGTATACCTAGAATTTTTCATAAGGAGACCCTCGCGAGGGGGGTACTGGCAAATTTGTAGAGATGTGTGAGGATTAACAGAGCGATGATGCCGCGTATGTGCAAGGAGAAGCAGTTCTGATTTGTCTGTAGCAGGTTGAAGGCCTGCTTGTGCGAGGTATTCACTTATGTTGTCCAGTCCCTGCTGCAGAGTTGACTCCACTTGCCAGGTCACCCGTGGGTGCGTCAGAGGGTGAAGTCGTCCGCGTGGAAGAGGTGTGACAGATGGGGCATTTGTTAAGGGCGACGGGCCAGCTGGGCCATCCCAAGATTTAATAGGGTTGCGGAAAGCACCGCCCCTTGTGGGGTGCACTGTGTGAGCGTGATTGATGGGGACGCCTCATAAGCTATACGAAAGCTGCCTGAGCGATTTTTGAGAAAGTTGATGCATGTGTATAGTCTGTGTATATAGCTTGTTTCTCGAACTGAGGTTAGTAAATGATCGTGTCCGACATAATCGATTGCGTTTCGAACGTCAATAGTGATAAGGGCGTGCACTAGAGTAGAAGGTGACAATAAAAAGGTATGCTAGAGGACGACAGAGGGGTCTGAGGTGGATACGTGGCGGAATCCGATTTATGTATGTGGCAAAAACGTGAAAACAAATATCGCAAATGAATCACTTCCTTTCCTTGCCTTACTGCACGGGAATTATACAGATTTTATGCAGTAATTTATCAACATATTCGAGCAAGGCGAGCGATGCATCAATATTAATAAGCGTTGAATCTATATTTACATCCGAAAAAATAAATTCTGTGGGGATCGCGGTTCGGGGGGGGGGGGGGGGGGGGGGGCGGATGCATGGGCCAAGAGAGAAGAGGAGAACAGCAGGGAGCAAGAGCATTGGGAGTGAGCTCGAGGAAGCTCGGACGAAACAGCGAACGACCACAAAAGGCGCTGTCTCCAGATCGTCCAACTCTTAGGCAGTAATTCCCTCGTTCCTTGCGTTGTGTGATCTCCTTCGGGGCTGTAGAGGCGGAACCTGATTGGGCGCTGGCTTTAGTGCAGTCCCACAACACATCGGACGGATCAAAGAACACTACATCTCTCAACTAGCAGTTACTCGTTCGTGTGTAAATTGAACGTTACCAACACGCTCAGTTTTCAATAATTTTATCAATTTTCAACTGGGGTTCGAAGAGTCCGACACAAGTGTAACGCGACGAATGAACAGATAGTGATTGCATAGATCGTGAAGAAAGAGAAAGACTGGATGCTTTTGACTGCTCGAACTTCAACTGAATTTTATGGCAGTATATTCATGAAACCACAACTATTAATTAAAGAATGTCGTAAATAAATTCAATGCAATCAAAGCAAAACATTCATGGGCAAACCCACAAAACAATCAAATTCTGAGAGTATGACCTGATTTTTTTTTCAATGATCCAGTAGCTCGCCTATGTTGCAAACAAAACTATACGAGAGTAACATATAGTAAATACCTCGCCTAAGAGGAGCTACTCACCAGAGCTGGAAAGTAAGGAGCCAAGAGCCCGTAGGTAGCCGCGACCCAAAACTGCACATGTGCCATTTGTAGAAGCTCTATGATTCGTGTGCATTTGCCAGTGTCGCTTTCATTCGGAAGAACAGCGAAGTCTGCTGCTTCAACAAGCGGCTGCGATTGCTGAGGGTCTGGTTCCTTCAGCGGCCTTCCATCGGCTCCATTCATATCTCCGTTGCAGCCTCCTTTTCGCTCGTGGTGGCCAACGGATGTGTCATCTTCTCCGTCCATGATCTACGGTTGTTGCCAGGGCACATTAAACCCTAAGGGATCCAAACCGAAATCCTGCCGAAGGATAAACAAGGGGTGGTGGCGCCACGCGTTCGTTGCCCATCTCTCCGAGAGCTGCCCGAACTCCAATGCATGCCACGAGAGGCTCAAAAAGAGCCCTTTTCCGAATATTGTTGTACTTTCTCGGGAACTGGGGATGATGAGGTAAAAAGTTCTTCATACACGTTTCACTAAATTTTCAAATAAGTATAACTTGATAACTCCATCACAGTATGGATTTATAAAACACAAGTCGACAGAATCTGCCTTACTTGTTTTAAAAGAATTTATTTTACAAAGCTTTGAAAACAAAAATATGGTTCTTGGAGTCTTTATAGATTTCACCAAGGCGTTTGACTGCTTCAATCCTAAAACTTTACTATCGAAATTAGATAAATATGGAGTTTGAGAGCACGCTTTACAGCTGATAAGATCTTATCTGGAGCAACGAGCGCAATATGTTTATATCAATGGGAATTTTTCCACTACAAAACCTATCCCTTCTGGTGTACCACAGGGTGGTATATTGGGCCCCTTCCTCTTTAACATGTACGTGAATGATATAGTCAATATTAATGTAAGCGCAAAATTTGTAAACTATGCTGATGACACAAGCATACTGTTTTCTGCAGATGATCCTGATCGGTTATTGGATATGGCGAATCTGGCCCTGTCTAGGTTACACATGTTGAGTCATTACAACGCATTACAAATAAATGTAAATAAAACCAAAGCCGTGCTTTTTCGTCCTAAAAATGAAATCGTTACCATTACCAAGGACATAGTTTTGAATTCAACCAAAATCGAGATTGTGAATTGTTTTAAACTTTTAGACGTCACGTTTTCTAAAAATATGTCGTGGGAAAGTCATATAAACTCTCTTATTCCAAAGCTATCCCAAATTGTGCGCATGTTAAATCGTCATTGTTATATTTTACCAACAAGCGTTAAATTAATAATATATAATCTCTATTTTATTCTCGCTTAAATTATTGCCATTTAGTTTGGGGAACAACAACTTTAACAAACCTAGAAAAGTTACAAGTATTGCAAAAAAAAGCACTGAGGGCTATAGCTGCCGTCTGGTATGATTTTCACACAGCTGGCTTATTTCAGAAATTTCGCGTCGTAAACGCGCATATATTATATGATTATAGACTTAGCACTAGCCTTAAAGTAGAGCAACTTAAAGACACAACGTTTTTAACAGATCTTCGAAATTTATCCAAAAATGTTCATAATTACCCTACCCGAGGTGCTGAATGTTGGGAGGTGGCTACAACGAAGAACAAACGATGGCAAACAAATGCTTAAATACACTCTCCCCAATCTACTCAATTTCGTATAAGACTAAAAGTATAGATTGGGATAAGTTATCCCTAAGGGAAGTAAAATCATCCTCTTTCTCTAGCAGCTGAAGGTAGTGCCTTTCTTTCTTTGTAATCTTTGTGACTAGTTTTTGCATAATTTTATCTCTGCTGTCTGTCCTGCCTCAATGTAAAAAAGGGGAAAAGAAATCTAAAATTTGTTTTAAAATGTGTGATAGCGACAATCATTGTACAATTTTTTTTTCCTCTTGAATATCGTTTTTCCCGGCTCTGTTGCTGCTTTCTGTAGGCGGTCAGGGACCCGTCAAGCTGTACTTGACAGCTTTTTTCCCTGATCGCCACCATCTTATGGTGGGAAAGAAACATTATTATTATTATTATTATTATTATACAGTAAAGTGCTTTTCTTCGTATATAAATGAAACAAACGGTGCGTGCAGCCAAAGCTGTATAAGTAAACCTGAAATGCGAACCCCCAACAGCCTTAAAGTAGCAGCTGACGTTACGCGAAGGAAATGAGCAATGAACAAGCTCAGCGACTTAGAAGAAACGTTCACTCCCACTCCGAGGTTTCCAGGGGCTCGAAGCTGGACCTTCGGCAAGAAATTACGCGCGATCGCCGACCGCCGTGATTGTGCAACGCCGCGCTGCGAACTGAAGACGGTGTCCACTCCAAGCTTTTCGCACATGCCTTCAGGTTGTGAGAAATCTCATGATACATATGTGACACCACTCTAAATCTGGTTACCCATGTTGTTACTCATGTGGAGGTCGTTACTCATGGACATGAGTAACGTTTCCATGTTTTGTTCTCTCATCCCTTTTGGAAGCACTGTCATTGATAGCAGCCTCATGGGTCAGATACCACGACGATGCGAGAAAGAGCAACTTTATGAGTAACAAACTCGTTACCCATCAATTGTGACTCATGTTTTCGGAGCTTTACTCATACCGGTTGCGAGGGAGTGTCGCGAAGCCGTCAAATTCGGCTTTTATGTTATGTCTTGTGCCAACCTTGGAGGAGGACCGCGTGAGCGAAAAATGATGGACGGCGATAAGAACTGGACACTCCGTGACTGAGATTTTTTTCTCTCCCTAGAAGTTTCACCGGGGGGGGGGGGGGGGGGGGGGGGCTGAAAAAGTCACAGTGAGTGAGTGAAAAGGGGCGTTGTTTCTGTTAGCACATTTAATGCTCTGAATTTTCCAGATTACCAAAGTATTTAGCAGTTTTTCTGAAGAGCAAAAATGTCAATCCGACTAGGTTTCACGAAAACCGACCTCTCCGGCACCGTCCGAGGCTCCTGCGTATTGGATAACTGCGGGGCATTCCTCACAAGTGAAGATGCATTTGAATACACCGACTGCCCGGCTGGGTGGTGCTTGATCTACGGGCATCCTCCAACAGAGCATGTCACCCTAGCTGAGTGAGCTTGAGAGAATGGGTGCGCCCGATAGCTTCTCACTTCTAAGCAGTGATTTATGGTGAAGGCTCGTATGCCCCTCTTTTTCCTCTATTTAATTTAGCTGCAGCAACACCGGCAATTCGCAAGTCTGTGTTTGAGAAGTGAGAAGCTGAAAATGGTGAGGAGCGCGAGCATCTTGAGACGCGGTTTAAGTCCCGCTCAGCTCGTACGCCGGCGCTTGACAGTGCTTTCTTTGTTGCAGTCCCAACTGAGACTTGCTTTCTAGCAAACCGGTCCTGTATTAAGAAGAGTCGCTTTTAGCGTTCTTTTGTTTTTATGTGACTGCAGTGTGCCGTCCAGTCTTCTAGCTTTCGGTAAACTGTCAAACTGCAGTATATATATATATATATATATATATATATATATATATATATATATATATATATATAACTGAGAAGAAAAGAAAACCCTTGGTGAAAACAGCAACAACGTACGGTTTATTCTTCGACGTTTCGGCCAGAGTCCGGCCTTCGTCAGGAAGGCCGGACTACGGCCTTCCTGACAAATATATATATATATATAGGTGGTTTCATCTCAAATCGTGCAGGCAGAAAGGGTCGAATTTTTAATTTCGCTGAAAAAAAATATATGTTCTGGCGTCGTCTCTAAGAATGCAGTAGCCACAAACCGCAAGTTCGTCGGATTTTTTGTTCTCGACTTACGAATTTTAGAAGAGGCCGCGACGGAAAGCAGCGTTTTTCACATCCGTTGTGGGTCGGAAGTTTCGCTCGATCTCCCGCCGTGGATTTTCAGTCCACATTATATGAACTTTTTTCAAGCACCCTGTGAACACACTTAAAAGCGTGTAATGCCATAAAATAATTTTAGGCTTTTTGGTGTTTTTTTTTTCTGTAAAAATGTCAAAAACGCCCCCTCGGTCAATTGTTGACGCACTTTGACAATTAATTACTGGCGATCTACGTGGGTTACATTAATATTTTTATGTCCACGGAGAGTCGGAAATACGCTCTTTATATATATTATAATATAATTTGGCTGTATAAAATAGCCTTTGCGGGACGTTTACTTTAATATTATGCGAAAACCAAAAATACTATTTTTGAAATCGATTTTCTCAAAAAATCTATTTTTATTTTTCTTATTTTTTGTTAAAATATAAATATGATAGTTGTCTACAGGAAAATTAGGTCGAGAAAGTGTGTATATTGTTTGTATGTTTTATATTTAAGTATCAATATAGTACAAAAACGTGATCTTATGGCTCGAAATGGACTTGCGAATTGCGCGCCTTAACAAACGGTGAAATATTTTTTCCTTTTTTCAACGTTCCCACATAAAAATGAAATACAGTAGTTCCACCCCGTTATATTTATTGATTATTTAAATTTTATTATAGGCGGCAAGCTACATTGGGAGGACTTCAAAAGAGAATGCAACTCTTCTAAACAGGCCAGCAGGCGTCGTAAATGTTTAATGTGTAGAAATCGGCAGACGTCTTATTGATTCGGGGCCTACATTGGCCTATATGAACGTCCCGCCCTTTTGGAACCAGCAGATGACCACGACCTTTCTTGCTCGTTGTGCTAGATACGACGACCCGTGACAGTAAACCGAGCAGCGCACCCTGTGTCACGAGGAGTGAAATGGTACGAATGTGTCGTTGACGCGGCGAACATCTCTCTCCGCGGAGACCCGATACCACCGAAGGGTCTCTTTTGGAAACAGCAAAGCCCGGAGACTGACATTAAAAGGAGCGTGTTGGTAAATATACTTCTGTTTATTCTGCCCGGAGACTAGTTGGGTCGAAGTCAGCCTCCTTGCCAATTATAACCGTTTGTGAAGAGTGGCCTACTCCCAAGATGAAAAGTTAGCGCCGGCTGATGTGTTCTTTTGAAAAAGGGAAGGGGAAAGAGAAAGTTTGAGTAACTGCAGTAACTACGTCGAAAGCTGTTCTCCCGATATGAAGCTCGAGGCATGTTACGTCTCGGTTACCTTCTCGCGCATCGCTGCTCGAATCTATTCTTCACTTTGTTCCGCACAGCCACTGTTCCGCACAGCCGTCGTGGGTGTGCGTAATAAAGTGAAGAGCAGATTTGAGCATCATCTGGACACCGTCATTCTGCCAGGCTTCAGTGTCGTGGGACTGGACTCGGCGTTGGTCAGTTAAGACTTTTTCTTTTATTTCGTGTGTGTTTCTTCGCCCCGCTGA